GTACGATTCTGCTTAAATTGCAGTACGACATTTGGGCTTCTGTTATACTTTTGAACTTATCACTGAATAATGATTACAGTTGTGGATGACTAAAATGTATATTCTTAGTCCTCTGATTAGGTTAGGTGGGGATGGTTAGTCTAGTCATTTTTGAATAATAACATTAAATACTCATGCCAGTAGGACGCCAAAGGTCGCATTGGTTGTCTGGTGACGTCATACATAGTTGACCAGTAAGGTGCAGTAATACCTTCACACCTATGTGCTAATGGCCAGCAATACCTTATCCCTATACCTGAGGTCGCTTTTCACGATGTCACTAAACAACAACAATAACTGTTCTGTAGAATGTATTTGTTTGTTATATATAATATGTTAGGTTAGGTTAGGTTAGGAAGGTTTGATCGGGTTTATGAATAACAGAAAATATAAGTAATGAGCGAAAATACGAGCTATTGTAGCTGAATATCAACTTTGATGAAGCACAGAGTACAGGTGAGGTATTAAGCTAGATTAAGAGTTCACACTTATGTGTGAACCTCCTGGGATCCGCATTTAGCCCGTTGACGCCTCGCGCCACATTAGGGATGATGACGTCACAAAAGGCGGTAACTGCAGAAGGCCTTATTTCAAAATATGAGAGGCTTGCTTTTACTGAATGAGTTTTTTTTATTTGTTAAATGCTACAGTATGGTGTGGGAGGTATGTTTTGAGCGAATGTGAGACGCGCATAAGGATAGGGTCACTACCGAACTCGCATTGAAATCACAAATGCCCAGGCCTCTATTTTTTAATATAAACGACTGATAGCAGTTTTATTTTTTGCCCTATGTATAATAAACATTCCTTTAAGAAAGATTGTCAAAGCTCAAATTACTTTCTCTAGAACGACGACGACGAAGAAGAAATAGGGGTGACATGATAGAGGTGTGACTGAATGGTCATAGTAAAGGGGAATATTATTAACCTATTATACGTATCAACATGAAACAGAATAGGAAATGAACTGGATAAGTTTTATATTTAGGAAAAAGACCTGGGTAAATACCGGTTCTGTAAACAGGGTTTGAACTCATTTCTTATGTTATTATTATGTAATCTTAGCTATAAAATGATCTTAGACAATGGGAAACCGTATGGTAATACCTAATTGTGAAAAAACGAGCTTATAATGGTTAACGCCATTGCACATTAGACTTGACAGAAGGCAGCATTTGAATCCCCCTTTGCTATAAATATTGAAAATGGGAATAATTACACTATAACAGAAAACGGACTTACACAGGGAAGATGAAGACGGGGGTGACGTCATTGACCATTAGCAATGTCTGTGCATGGCCCACTGGGGTAACGAAAAACAGGTACGCCAAGTCGTGTCCCATCAAAGCTGCAACGAAAAACAGGTACGCCAGAACGTGTCCCATCAAAACTGCAACGAAAAACAGGTACGCCAGAACGTGTCCCATCAAAACTGCAACGAAAAACAGGTACGCCAGAACGTGTCCCATCAAAACTGCAACGAAAAACAGGTACGCCAGAACGTGTCCCATCAAAACTGCAACGAAAAACAGGTACGCCAGAACGTGTCCCATTAAAACTGCAACGAAAAACAGGTACGCCAGAACGTGTCCCATCAAAACTGCATCGAAAAACAGGTACGCCAGAACGTGTCCCATCAAAACTGAGATGAAAAACAGGTACGCCAGAACGCGTCCCCTTAAAACTGCAACGAAAAACAGGTACGCCAGAACGTGTCCCATCAAAACTGTAACGAAAAACAGGTACGCCAGAACGTGTCCTATTAAAACTGTAACGAAAAACAGGTACGCCAGAACGTGTCCCCTTAAAACTGCAACGAAAAACAGGTACGCCAGAACGTGTCCCCTTAAAACTGTAACGAAAAACAGGTACGCCAGAACGTGTCCCATTAAAACTGCAACGAAAAACAGGTACGCCAGAACGTGTCCCCTTAAAACTGCAACGAAAAACAGGTACGCCAGAACGTGTCCCCTTAAAACTGCAACGAAAAACAGGTACGCCAGAACGTGTCCCCTTAAAACTGTAACGAAAAACAGGTACGCCAGAACGTGTCCCATTAAAACTGTAACGAAAAACAGGTACGCCAGAACGTGTCCCCTTAAAACTGTAACGAAAAACAGGTACGCCAGAACGTGTCCCCTTAAAACTGCAACGAAAAACAGGTACGCCAGAACGTGTCCCACGGGCAGAGCCTCATAGAGCACCACCAGCCGCCCCGGGCAGAGCCTCATAGAGCACCACCAGCCGTCCCTGGCAGAGCCTCGTAGAGCACCACCACCAGCCACACCGGGCAGAGCCTCGTAGAGCACCACCAGCAGCCACCCCGGGCAGAGTCTCGTAGAGCACCACCACCAGCCACCCCGGGCAGAGCCTCATAGAGCACCACCACCAGCCGTCCCTGGCAGAGCCTCATAGAGCACCACCACCAGCCGCCCCGGGCAGAGCCTCATAGAGCACCACCAGCCGCCCCGGGCAGAGCCTCATAGAGCACCACCAGCCGTCCCTGACAGAGCCTCATAGAGCACCACCACGGGCAGAGCCTCATAGAGCACCACCAGCCGCCCCGGGCAGAGCCTCATAGAGCACCACCAGCCGTCCCTGGCAGAGCCTCGTAGAGCACCACCACCAGCCACCCGGGGCAGAGCCTCGTAGAGCACCACCACCAGCCACCCCGGGCAGAGCCTCATAGAGCACCACCACCAGCCGCCCCGGGCAGAGCCTCAGAGCACCACCACCAGCCGCCCCGGACAGAGCCCCATAGAGCACCACCACCAGCCGCCCCGGGCAGAGCCTCATACAGCACCATCACCAGCCGCCCCGGGCAGAGCCTCATAGAGCACCACCAGCCGCCCCGGGCAGAGCCTCATAGAGCACCACCAGCCGCCCCGGGCAGAGCCTCATAGAACACCACCACCAGCCGCCCCGGACAGAGCCTCATAGAGCACCACCAGCCGCCCCGGGCAGAGCCTCATAGAGCACCACCAGCCGTCCCTGGCAGAGCATCATAGAGCACCACCACCAGCCACCCCGGGCAGAGCCTCATAGAGCACCACCAGCCACCCCGGGCAGAGCCTCATAGAGCACCACCACCAGCCGCCCCGGACAGAGCCTCATAGAGCACCACCAGCCGCCCCGGGCAGAGCCTCATAGAGCACCACCAGCCACCCCGGGCAGGGCATCGTAGAGCACCACCAGCCACCCCGGGCAGAGCCTCATAGAGCACCACCAGCCGCCCCGGGCAGAGCATCATAGAGCACCACCAGCCACCCCGGGCAGAGCATCATAGAGCACCACCAGCCACCCCGGGCAGAGCATCACAGAGCACCACCACCAGCCGCCCCGGGCAGAGCCTCATAGAGCACCACCACCAGCCACCCCGGGCAGAGCCTCATAGAGCACCACCAGCCGCCCCGGGCAGAGGATCATAGAGCACCACCAGCCGCCCCGGGCAGAGCATCATATAGCACCACCACCAGCCGCCCCGGGCAGAGCCTCATAGAGCACCACCAGCCGTCCCGGGCAGAGCATCATAGAGCACCACCAGCCGCCCCGGGCATGCAGAGCCTCATAGAGCACCACCAGCCACCCCGGGCAGAGCCTCTTAGAGCACCACCAGCCGCCCCGGGCAGAGCCTCATAGAGCACCACCACCAGCCGCCCCGGGCAGAGCCTCATAGAGCACCACCAGCCGCCCCGGGCAGAGCCTCATAGAGCACCACCACCAGCCGCCCCGGACAGAGCTTCATAGAGCACCACCACCAGCCACCCTGGGCAGAGCATCATAGAGCACCACCAGCCACCCCGGGCAGAGCATCATAGAGCACCACCACCAGCCGCCCCGGGCAGAGCCTCATAGAGCACCACCACCAGCCGCCCCGGGCAGAGCATCATAGAGCCCCACCACCGGCAAACCTGGGCAGAGCCTCATAGAGCACCACCAGCCGCCCCGGGCAGAGCATCATAGAGCTCCACCAGCCGCCCCGGGCAGAGCCTCATAGAGCACCACCAGCCACCCCGGACAGAGCCTCTTAGAGCACCACC